CCGTATACAATAGAAACAATTATCAGGTAAGAATTACAATGTCCAGTGCATTTACATTTGACATTTTTGGAGAAAATATTCTATTATCTATCCTACCTTGGTGAATCCAAAGTTTTGTTACTAATTTACTTTCTATCATAATTTGTATTACCATCCTAAAAATATCTTTTTAGACCTCAAAGTCTTTTCTTACCTAAACAACTTAAGCTTTTATGTCTCTCAGCCTTATACACTTTACATTTCTCTTATAAGTTTCTTTCTTTTTTTTTTGGAATTTAGTAACAAAGAAAACAGTACAACTATCTAGTCTTCAGCTCTGTTGGAGACATGAGAAGGTCAAAATATTACCTGATTAAACAGGAAGTATGTAGTAAACAACTTCCAAAATTATAGAAATAACAGAGATATCTGGCTGCCTGGACAGTCACCCAAGGTTCCTCTGCAATACTGGGGCATTCATCTTTGGCCTACAGACCTAAAATATCTGACAGACTTATCTGTGAATCAGGAATTTTGAAAGACTGGCCTACTTTGTCTTGGCAAAGTTCAGCAGTTGCCTTTTTTAATGTCCTGCTTGTCCAATTTGAACAGCATATTGTCAGTAGTTGAGGCAAGGGCAGCTTCTTGCCCAGTGGCTAACTTTGCCACAAAGAAAGTAAACTCCATATGGAGGTTCTCTGATACCTATCATCTTCTCTGAAGTTGATTGGTGCTTCCAGGAGCAGATATGTCTCACTATCATGAAAAGCCTTATGTTATTAAAACATCTTAAATGCTGTATTCTATATATCCCTGAGGTGTTTGAAGGCCACCTCTCTAACTATGTGAGGCTAAATAGAGCTTATTTATGTCTATATCTAACCCTTGCTAGAAGTTCGATTGTTATCTTAGTTATCCTAAACAGTTTGTAATAATAACTTTCAAGGACTAGAACTTTACATTACATTGTTAAATGAGCTGCATAGGTACAATACCTTAAACAAGAGTAGAAACACACACACACACACACACACACACACACACACATATATATATATATATATATATATATATAAACAAAAATAAATTCAAATCAATATACAAAAATTCATACTAAAATATTTGAGTAGTGATTTTTTAGTTTAAAAGTAAATTCAATAATCTACCCTTTTATCTTATCATTCTTATATCTCCCCTATTTTCTTTTCAGAAAGAGATCCCTAAATCTAACATCCTTTGTTTAATTTTTTCCCTGACCATGACCAATAACAACTTGTAACCAACCCCCCTAAGTGATGACAAGCATTCATAACCCACTGAATGACCAAGAAGTACTCACCCCACCTCTTGGGAATGTGGGTGTTGTGGTTTCTAGACTGCTTCCTGTTGTCTGGGGGTGACAGCATCTTTAGGGGACCCTGAGAAAATTGGGATAATGGTCAAGTCCTGGGAAAGCTAGATGTATTATTTTTTGTTTAGTCTCTGTGTGATGGGAAAATGTAGAGCTTATCTGAAGTCCTGGCTAGAGTAGTCCTCGAGGCTGGACCTTCTCAGCTAGCAGTTTTGTGGTTGTTTGGATGTAGAATTTTGAGGAAACCACAACAGAGGCGGTCTAAGAGGCTGGATCACCTGGGCTACTTGTCTTCTTTGGTGTCTGAAAACTTGTCTTTCTGAAAACACACAAACTTGTAAAGGTAATGTATATCTACATTAACACAATATGGAATATGCAGTATGCATAAATCAGTTAAAGATGATTTTCTTCATGTTTGAGCAGATAAAAGGCATCTGTCAATTTTATAAGTCAGTTTGGACTGCATAACCGAACTGTAACATAAATCTCAATCCATGCCTTATGAAAGGATGGCATGTAATAGTAAGTCATGAGGATTCTGTAGCCAGCAAGATTTATCATGTCTCATCCAGTCTCAGAGCTGTTCCCATGTTGAGGGATCAGCATATACATGATCTGCCCTGCAGTCTTTCCTGGCTCTTTTTCTCATGTCTGTAGCCAAGATCCCAAGGAGGTCTCCCCTGGACAAATCTGATTGCAATTAACTTTGATGGAATCCATAGCTTTTCGTTTCCTGTAGAAACAAAAGCACAACCTCTACCCCAACACAACACATTTCCAAAGTTCCATTTTTTTGAAGCCAAGACATCCCTAAAGTATATAAGCTGGTTTAATCCAGCAGTTCCTTCCACAATCCCATGTCTCTCAGCAGCTGCTGTTCTCTGTTCATTAGCATTCAAAAATTTCAGAATTAACAAGGCACATATAAGGTCCAAACTCCCTGTGTTATATTTCCCATCCTTATGTGGCTTATCTTTTATATTACTTTAGTCTCTCTTTAAAGACTTTAATTTTTTTTATGATTGACTATACACATTTTCTTTTCTTTCTTCAGCATCTAAGCACATTTTAAGCATACTCTATCTGTTCAGAGGTTTTCTCAGTTGGACCTGACTTTTTACGTGTCTGCAGTCTTCTCTGACCGTGTGAGCCAAACATTAAACTGCTAAGCAGGGGCTAGACCCTCTGCTGTGGTGGGCTCTGCCCCCCCTCTCAGGTCGGTGAGAGCAGAGCCTCATGCCTGCAGCCCAGCCTGGAGCTGGTCTATTTGCATTGGCTCTGGTAGGCGTTGCTACCTTGTCTCCCACCACCCAGTATCAGGCCACCCACTGCTCATAACCCCCATTCAAGTGCTCAGTAGCAGGGCCTCTTAAAAGAGCTGCTCCTGTGTATGCCACAAGCACTGAGCCTACTACGAACTTTTTTTTTTTTTCTTTCAGCTTTCTCAGGCCCTGTGTGGATTTACATGCCATGTTGGGTGCCATTTGTAATAAGCTTTTTTTTTTTTTTTTTTTTGTTGGCCTCCATCTCACAACAACAAAGAGACTTGTTACTAATTATGAAAGCTTGGGCTTTAGCTTAGGCTTGTCCCACTTGCTCATATAACTTAAACTGACCCATTTATATTAATCTATGTTCTGTCATGTGGTGTTAACATCTCTTCCATCTTGCACCTCCTATTTCCTCTGTGTCTCCTGGGGTCTCCCATGTGCCTAGATTCCTCCTCCTTTTCCTTTCTCTCCCCAGAAATCCTTCCTATATGCTCATGCCTAGCTACTGGCCGCTCAGCTTTTTATTACCCCAATCACAGCAACACATCTTCACACAGTGTACAAATATCCCGCAACATTTAGCAATGAGTCATTGTTTTAGGATGCCAGGATATATGTGCTGGGATTTCCCAGAGGGCTAAAATGATGCCCTTTGCTGAGAAGCAAGCTGCCCCTGCAGGCAGGCTGCAAACTCCTATAGCTGTCTCTAGGTTTTACAGAATGTCTCAGGGGACCAGTGGTCAACTGTTTACCATTTCTTTCTTTTTTAAAAAAAAAATTTATTTGTTTGTTTATTTTGTGGGGAGGTCTGCATGTGTATAGAGGTCAGAGGATAACTTGCTGGGGTCAATACTTTGTTCTTCCATGTGGGTTCTGGGAATCGAACTCAGAATGTCAGGCTTGGCAGCAAGTGCCTTATCCACTGAACCATTTCACCTACCCAATTTTACCATTTCTTAAAGTGCGCTCTCTCTCTCTCTCTCTCTCTCTCTCTCTCTCTCTCTCTCTCTCTCTCTCCCT